ATCCAAATCCTAGTGGGAACTATTTTATGAGACGGAGAGAGTAAATTATACTACTTATGCCCCAAATTGTTTTGTAAAGTCAACATTTTTTGTAAGGCAATGTTAAAGTTAAATCCTCCCTATTGATAAACAATTCAAATTTAATAATTAAAATGTACATATTCAAATTGTGACTGTTCTTTTTTGACGTTGACTGTTCTCATTGACTGTTCTTATTACTACGTAAAGGGTGATTCTAATTGTAGGCTCCGTTTTGCTAAATACAGCCTCATATTAAAATTATTATTAAATAATATAATTAAACTTACTTATTTGCCCTTTTAATTTGGAACCCCTCAATCCCATCGTCACTTTCAACGGATCTGAAGACCCAGATGCTACTGTACAATGGCGCAGCAACCACATAGTATAAGGTTTGAGGGGAAATCATCAATAAACCTCACTTTAATTCCCTTTAATCATCATCGCCTAATAATTACGTAGTATTATTTTTATACTTTTTAATTAAATTCCCACCACAATTTCAATTAGTGCTTTACGGAAGTTGTATGTCATGCAAATGCAATGCAAAATAAGAATACAATAGGCAATTACAATATTTTTAGTTATTTAAATTTTATGAAGGGCTGTGAATAGTAATATTGGGGCTGCATTTAGAATTGGGCTGGCCACTAGAGGGGTGGATCTTTGGTTTGGGTTGCAGGGGTTGGATGTATCTTTATTAATAATCATACTTCGTATTATATATATGTATATATAATCATACATTTAAAAATCGACCTAAATCAATTGGCATAAGGATGTTTTTACTTGTACTGTAATTTGCTGGTTTGGTCTGTTTAAGTCTGGTCTTGTCTGTTTAAGTCTGGTCTGATATGGTCCGATAAACATTTGGTCTCTGTGTATTTTATAATTACGGAAATCAAGTCTGATCTGGTCTGGTATGTTTAAGTCTAGTCTGATTAGGTTTAGTCTGGTTGGTCGAGGACTGAAAACAGTCTAAGTAAAAACTCTCCAAGTGCACAAAAAATACTCCGTATTAGGGGTGGGCAAAAATACTGAACCGGCATGGTACCGAGCCGAACCGGTATGGTATCAGACTGAAAAACGGAGTTTGAAACGGATCTCAATTTTTTTGTCCCAAACCGGACCTTACCGGTTCTAAACAATGCCATTACCGGTTCTCATAAACTGAGAACCGGTAGCGGATCGATCCGGACCGAAGTATGGTTTAATTATTTAAATTTACATTTATACCATTATTTTGACTAGTGATTTCACACTTTCACCGTCTTTCCTAGTTCATAGGAAGCATGGAACCGGACCAATGTATGTTTTAGTTTTTCAAATTTGTACTACTATATATAATTTATCTGAAATTTGTTAATTATGTAATATTACCTCCGTCCAAATTGATTTGCAAAATTAACTTTTCTTGGTCAAACAATTTCATTTTATTCACTTAATTAGAATGTCAATTTTTAATTATATTTAATTTGGAGTTTGCAACTTTGAAGAGATTTTAATGTAGTATTCGAATGTGTAAATTTTAATTGTTAAAAATTGAATTAATTATCAATTAAGAGAATTTAACAAACATTGGTTGACCAAAAGATATCGACATGCATATCAATTTGGGACGGAGGGAGTATGAAAAATGATAAATTGTGTGAATTTTTGGAGGATGGCTAAACTTTAATCTCACCATAAACACTTGGACAAAGTGGCATTGTTTGGTATTGGTATGGCATGGAACCGTCCCGTTTGAAAGTGGAACCGCACCGAACGGGTTCAGGTCTAAGACCGAATCGAACCGTTTGAATAGTCACGGTACGAGTATGAGTTCGACCAAATATTGGACCGGACCGCGCCCACCCGTACGTTAATAAACACGTGAACCCTGTAGTTATTAGGTAACTTTAGTTTGATCGGAATTTTAAAAAGGTGACATTCCGAAACAAATCAAACAATTAATGTATATAACATGTCAATTCAAATCATTTTAAGTTATCATTTATGCAATTATCTTATTTTAGCCAATATGGAAGTAGATGAACATTACATTTCAGTTATTTTAGTGTATAGAACTCTATGTATGATTGAATAATACTACGTACTAGTAATTATTTAATTAGTACTAGGTGCATTTAGCAAAGCTTAGTTGTGAGGTCGCCTTCGTCCAACTGCACCAATCCTTTTGGACAGCCAAATTCCAAGTATGGCGGTGGCCTGCAAATCTCACCGACCCTCATCTACTCTGAAGAAGTTGATCTTAGAATTATATTACTCCTACCATTCTTGTTTAAAGTTTTTACATATTTTCTGGCAAAAAAAGTTATATTCATTTTTACATTATCGTCCTAGCTAGAAGTGGTGTCAAGGTACTCATTGCAAATACAAATATAACTAGCATATCAATGTGGTCATTTGAGAGTAAAGGAGTGTTTGGAATTTATTTTGCTTCTACTTCTTTTTTAAAAACACATGTAGAATTAGAATCAGTTTTCAGAAGCTGATATCCTCAACTTCTAAACACTGCTTTCATGAGCATTTTGGTGTTCTAGAAGTACTTTTACATTTTCACCCAAACACTCTAGGTTGGTGCTATAAATTATCAAGACTCACTCATTTTTTTAGATGGTGAATCTTAGTGATTTATGACTAGGGGTGGACTCGGCCCGGCCCGGCCTGGCCCGGTACCCGGGTCTATGCCCTGTTCGAGCCACCCGGCCCGGTACTGTTTCGGGGCGGGCTCCGGGTTTCAAAAAAGTGAACCGGCTCGGCCAAGTCGGGCACGGTTCGGGCTATTTTTTTTTTGTTTTTCAAAATTTGAAAAAGGTAAATAGGTTCGGCTGGGTGTTTTGGACGGATTTTGGGTGTGGGGGGTGGGGGGTAGGAAGTAATTAGAAAATAAAAAAACAAAAAAACAAGGTAACCAGGCCGACCCGGCCGGAACCGGCCAGGGCCTGACCCGGACCTGGTAGCTACCCGGGCCGGTTCCGGACTTCCGGGCCTCAAGAATCCCAAAAAAAGCCTGATCAGGCTCGACCTGGGTCCATGCCTATTTATGACTATAGAACATGCTAATGTGGTCCATAAGTTTATGCATGTCAAAAACGTGCATTTACTGACTACTGAGTAAAGAGCAATTGTGGAATTCAAGACAAAAAAAACTAATTTCGTTGTTTAATTAGACACTGACTCGGGCCGGGTCGGGGCCGGGCCTAGGACCGGCCGGGCCTCCGGTTTGTAACTTATGGACCCGGGACCGGCCCGAGGTCTGGACAGGTCTGGTTCGGGCCAGGCCACCTGCCCGGGTCACGGGTCGGGGCACCTGCCGGGCCGATTAAATCCATTTTTTTTATAATTTATACTTTATAGTTTTATACAAGTATTAAAAACAAACTTCAAGTCATTTATTTGAAATGAAATAGGAACTACATTCGACAATTAAGAGAAACATACAATATGAAATACATTTTGTAAATTGTAATCAATCGGAACTTAATTCCCGCACCTCCCGGTCCTTTGGCTTTGTCACATGACTTAATATGTTTCATTGTCATCCTGTATCCGCATGAAACCCCCATGCTACACTTTCGTTCGGTTGCGCTCGAGGTTACCCATATCAACCGAATATCTAGGACGATCCATCTAAAAATGTAACAAATATTAAATTGCAACAAATATATTAATAAGAGTAATTAAAACTATTTTAAATAATACTTCAATCTAAAAAGTTTACTTTAATCAAATAAAATTCTAACTATTAATTCGAGTTATAGCAAAATACTTTAATTCGAGTGAAATGTGAAGTAAAAAATAATATGAATTGAACCAAAATTTATAGCAATACTATTGTTTAATAAATAGTCAAATTAACTAGTGAATTAACTAGTTTTGTGTACTACCTATTTTTTTTTACTAACAATCAAATTAATATAGTTTAGGTTTAACTATAATGAGAATTAACTAGTTTTTTAAACTAGAGTCAAAGGTAGCAATTAATAAAAAATTGTAATAAAGTAATTAACTACTTAAATGAAAAATTATACAATTCGTGTGAAAACTAATTAACTAATCAACTAGTTTTTTGTACTACCTGTTTTTTTACTAACAATCAAATTATTATAGTTTAACTTTAACTATAATGAGAAAAAACTAGTTTTTTTTCAAGTAATGTTAATACAAAATTAAACAAGTGTAAATAATAGAATGATTTCGTACCTCTTTCGGACTTTCGGTCTTTCGGATGGGAGTAATAGAATGACTTCAAATTAATTAGATAAGAAATATAAGTAATATAATGTATGTATTTATAAATTATAAGTAGATAATTAATATAAAGTAGATATATAAATATAATATATTGAAGAATAAGAGAATTTGAGAAGATGAAGATAATTAGAGAGTAGAGAGTTAAGAGTAGGATTTAGGAAGAGTTGGAGAAGAGATACGGAAAAATGTTTAAGATTAGGAGTATTTATAAGTTTTTTTTACCCCCCACCCACCCCACCCCCAAACCGCCCGGACCCCCCCCCCCCCCCCCCGTAGCCCACCCAACGGCTATATAGCCGTTTGGATTGTTCCCAGCACACCCCAACGGTCATTTTTGGCCCAAATATTTTTTTTTTAAAAAAAGAGTCGTTGTGACCCGGACCAAGGCCCAACCCGGCCGGGTCACCTTTTGCAGGAACCGAGCCCGCCCCCGCCCCCGCTTCCCCAACCGGTTCGGATCCACACCCGGTCCTGGACCGCCAGACCGGGCCGGTCCCGGGCCTGTATAGTACCGGGCCGGGCCGGGCCGGGTCACAGGCCGGGTGGCCCGAACCGAATCCATCCCTAAGTTTAATTATGAAGTTCTTCAAGTGATGCCGGCAAATTGGCAATATATTGCCAAGACTCAAATTGAATTTTTAAGTTTAAAATTGGTTTGCTCTAACAAGCTTGGACAAAAACAATGCTACAAATTCATATGGAGAATGATGGACTACTTTTCATATATAAGTGCCTGATAAAGCACAACTTTGATACATTATTCCTACGATTATGTCTTGATAGATTACTCACACGTTTAAACCAGGAAACAAAGTAGATCATGACACATTTGAAACTACTTTGGTGGAAAGAAAATACCACCATAAGTCCATAAATGAATTTGTGGGCTATCAAACACATCTATACAAACAAGGTTGCATAATAACAATCATATAAACTCACACCACATAGTCAATAAGATTAATACAGCCCATAATAATCCTTGAGACTTAGAGGCTGCCATTGACATTAATCAATAATAATCAAGACATCATAACCACCAGAGAACTGAAGCGTCGGAGGGGGGGGGGGGGGGGGGGGGCTAGCAGTAGTGAGCATTTCGGCATGGCAGGAGAAGGTGGTTATTCCGGCTGGCTACATGCCTACATCCCTCGCGGTTCCTTCATCAGGTTGATCCCTATCAGTTCAAGTATACGAGCTCCTTGTGACCGAACCCGCTTGCATTTTTTACCCAAAACTCCAAAAACCTCCTACTTCCTTCCGGACTTGCATCCATTCCTACTGAGAACGCGGGGATAGTTCCACCAGCAGCCATGATTTGCTGCTCCATCTGCATTTGAGAGCACACAGGAGAGTAGCATGACATTAATACGAGCTGAATGGATTTTGTATAAATAAGTTTCTGTTCCATCGTAATCGTTAAAAGTTACTTCTTAATGAGCAGAACTTCAGTCATTTCATATCGGCCAAGTATAAAAATATAAAAGTACGCAAAATGAAGTGATATACTTGAACTAGCTACCAACAGAGCATTAGCATGAGGAGTGCAATAATAGTTTTGATATACCATGTAAGATGGAGTGCTTACATTTATAATAGCTTCAAGTCCACTCTTCACTAGAAAGTACTCATTTCTGATAAGTTGGAGACATTGCAAACACCTACACCAAACAACAACAGTAGTTATAACGTCTTGTTAAGACATTGCGGAGATTACAAACACCTACACCTATACCATATATCATCTCACATATAAGGCATTGAATTACTCCTATTAGCTTGCTAGTTTTGGGTGGAACTCATATTTCAATATTCCCATTAGTGATTACATTCTTTAATTAAACATTTAGTTACAAGGGAAGAAAACAAGCATAACCTTACCCATCAAGGTTCTCTTGTTCACAAAGCGTTCTCATACATAAGCATGCATTCTTTACTCTTTGTGCACCTACACTGCATACCAGAAAACAATTGTAGGCCAAATCTGCTAGAAAGTAATTCATCAATAAGAAAACAATAAACTAAACAGTTGAGGGCTAACTCCATGTCTTTCATGATCTTTTTTCTATTATTAGTAGTACATTTCAAAGTAATTCCATTCTCTCCAAAAAACAAATACAGCAGGTGTAGAAGTTTCTCAGGCTCATCATGCATAACAGTTTATGAGGTCCAATAAAAAGGATGAAACAAACCAATACAGGCATTAGAACATGAGCCCTTGTATGAAGAAACCACTAAATAACAGAGATAAAATATAGCTTCTAGCATGTGGGGCTTTTTGGTTTGGAGAGTTCGTAGATAGGCTTGTCAATGGGTCGGGTCCGGGCCGGAATGTAATGTTCCAGACCCGGACCCGCTAAATTAATAATGGACCTAGACCCAACCCGTTTACCCAGCGGGTCTGAAAATTTGGACCCGGACCCAGATCCAACGGGTCTCGAAACCAGGTCAGGTAGACTCGCCAAGTATGATACGCGCACCATTATAAACTTTGTGAAAATAACAAGACATGTATATGAAATGTAAAGCAAAGGAACAAGGTTTCTCATAGAAAATTAGTATTTTTATCCAATAAATTATCGGTTCTTGTATAGGCGTATAACTCCACACTCTGTGCCGCTTTCTTTCGCATAGGAAACTCATAGAATAAACTAGAAATTAAGTCACAAAAAGTTCTCTTGGACTACTCAGAGTATAAAAGCATATATGATAATGATATAATAATATTAATAATAATAATAAATATTGTGTTTTGTCTGCGGAGCCCAATACACACTTTATCGGTATGTATTTACAGCAAAAATGACTATTAGTTTTTTGGTATCTTACTATCTTGATCGGTATCACTTATATAGTAGGTACGTATTAGTGTGTATATTTGTAATTGAAAAAGTACAACTAATAACTTTATGTATTGTTTACCTTAAAAAAATAGATCTATATATTATTATGTCTATATATGTGGGTGTGTGTATATATTAGTTTGTATTTTTTTATTTGAAGTGTTATAACTAATCACTTTATGTATTAGGGTAGGTGTATGTGTGTACAAATGAGAAATTTTAAACGGGTACGGGTCCTTAACGGGTCAGAATCATGTATACCATACCCAACCCGTTTATTAAAAATACTAACGGGTCTGGATCCGGGTCCGAGTAAACAGAATAAAATATAGACTTGTACCTGCTAAAAACAACCGGGTCCGGGTCGGGTCTGGGTCTAGACCCAACCCATTGACAGGCCTATTCGTAGAGGAGTTTATGGAAGGAGAGATTTTTTTAACACTTTCTACATTTAAATGGTTGGAAATAAATGTTGGGTGAAATTGTGTGTTTAATTGAAAAATAAAGAAGTAAATTAATAAATAAAAATAGCCAAGAAAACAGAAACAAGAAGGAACGGATAGCCAAAGCTTGTGCAACACACAATTTCCTTAAAACATATTCGTTGCCTCCCACAGTGCTAGGAGCATCGCAATCGTAGTTTCTCAGGATACGGTGGCTACGAACAACCGTATGAGCACACAATCGATTGTTCCGACAAACGGAAACAAGCTATGAACAACTAATGATTTTTCAGAGAGCTGAAGGTGTTTTTAGATGAGAAACAACATGAAGACGGTGTCGTGCGTTGTTGCAAAACATTTGCCAACTATATATAGAGACGAATTTGTTGTGAACTTTAATGGACATGATTGTTGGACATAAATGACCAGAACATTAGGCATTACTATGTCGAAAAACTGTCCATTTAAAGACGCATTAAAGGACAAGAACGTTGGACAATAAAGGCTGTAACGGCTTAGAACCGTTTTGGTGCGCGATAAGAACAGAACCACTTCTGGTGTGACCACATCACGGGAAGAAACAAAAATTAAATCGTATCTTTGAAACTCATTCATGTCTGCAGATCACCCGCGCACGCAAGTCGCGATTTTTCTTCTTTATTTTCGGGATTTGATCGGCACCCCTTGCGCATGAAGAGAGCCTTTCCATGTAGGAACCTAAACTCCCTTGAATTTTCCCGTGTGTGATAAATCACACTAGAACTCATCGTTTTCCCAATTTTCTCTATATCAACGAGTGAACTTTGAGAATCAATTTTTCATTCACCCGTTATCCATTTTGAGTGTACCATATATCGAATCGAAGCCCTTAATAAGGGGAATCCAAAACTACTTTGACCCGACCCAAATTAAAAGTGGACCCCACTCAAAATACTGCCTGAATTGACCATTTAATGCAATTTTAACACATTTTCCAACAGTAAAGATTCTAGAAAAAATGTTGAAATGCTTGATTCTAACAAATAAAGATAAATAATTAAATCTAAATCAATTTCCTGCGATACCAAGAACCAAACATCTCAACCTAATATACTTTCCAAAGCTCTTACGTCTGAAACCATAAACCGAGCCAAAAATTCCTTGTCCAAATATTAGAATGATGCAGTTTAGAAGTGTAAAAAAATATACACACAAATATTATATACAAAGTATATTATATATGCACAAACTAGTACACGTGAGGGGGCCATCACACTCCACAACCTCCCATTATTACTTATAAAATTGTGTTGTAAAAAAAAATTAAAGAGGTTGTAGAATATTGTGATGTCTATCCCAGATATATGTCATTTTTTTATAGAATTGTGTTGTAGTCCTCCTTAATTAAGAAACTAAAGAGGTTGTAGAATATTGTGATGTCTTTAATTAAATGTGTGGCAAGAATTATTGGATCCTCTAGTGGATTTTAGAGTAGTATAGAGACGTATAAAATTCTCTAATAATAGCGTGTAGAAGAGAGACATATCCTAAAGCATTTTGAAATTCACTAAAGAAGTGTAAAATCCTCCAAAATTGTGTGGAAGAGTGTGGAAACTTTATAATATTTTAAATAAATTTAGAGACCTCAAATTTCTTGAAGGATTATAAAATTTTGTGCAGACTTCTTGAAAGAATCTGAAGTTCCCAATTTTGGGATGTGTAAGGATGTCAAATGAAAAATGTGGATAAATAGCTTTATTGGGAACATATAATTTAAGATGACTTCTCATTATTAACCTTTCCCACACCGGTAACGTATTAAAATACAAACCAACATAGCTGTTAGGTTACTCTTCGTATTAAAATACAAACCAACATAGCTGTTAGGTTACTCTTCCTGCTAGTTTGAGTAACAACGAGCAACAAATCTTACAGTCTTAGTATTTATCAGCACTAGTTAAGCTTAAATGAAAAAATGAGCGATTGATCTAACTAACACTCAAATAGTGTACATGAATTTCAATGGGACATGTTCACTCATCCCAAACCAAAAAATATAGGGAAAACAACTTTGAATAATACTCCGTATCAACTATCACTCATCAAGCAATAATAATACGTACTTTAAAAATAGTTTTTAATAATACCAACTATTTGAATATAAAACAAGAATAATATGGAGTCACTTTTCAACAAGAAATCCAGTCATTTAAGATATTGAAAACTAATAGCAAACCATCAAATAAATGATATTTCGAAATATAGTCACTTATTTTATATTTTGATATTAATTTTTGGTGAATTAAATGACTAAATTTTTGGTGAAAAAATGGTCTATATCACTTTTGGTCTATATTTAAATATTTGATATTATTACAAGTTATTTCCCAAGTAAGTATTATTCTTAGTTTATGAAAGATACTTTGTATTATTTAAAGTTATTTTCCAAAAAATATAAGATACAAATCAACATAAAATGCTTTGGACATAAACTAGTCAGCTATAATGACGTAGTGTCAAATACACAAAGTTAAGTGACCTTCACATCATGTCCCCATAATTTCTTCGGTGAATAAAAACTCCTAAAAGTAGTTAGATTAAGAGAACACCAAATATCTGTGAACTCATTCTAACGCTTTGCCAAATGAAATTTCTGCCGATATTTTGTTTCTATAGTACCTCCTCTGTTCATTTTTAATTGCAACGGTCCATTTTTTACGTTTGCCAACGCACAAGTTTGACCATTAATATTTTTCATTCTTTATTAATAAAAAAATTTAAAAATTCAGATTTTGAAAATTTAAAACGAGTGGAATTTGAAATTATTTTTTTAAAATTTAATTTATAATACATTAATAAATAAAATATAATCAAGTAGAATATGTGAATAGTGAAAAAAGTCTAATGTTGCAATTAAAAGAGAGCGGGGTAGTATTTGTGGAGTCCCAAACGGAGGACTACTCTCCAGTTCCAACTCATTACAATCTAATATGTCAAGAAAATTCTAGAGTATTGTGTAAAACTGTAAATGTATTGATTTTCGTATGTGTCTAGAGAAATATTGGATCTTCCCATATATTCTAGAGCGGTGTGGAGGAATACAAAATTCTCTAGAAACGTGTAGAGTGTGAAAGATTATAAAACATTTTTAAATTCTCTAAAGAAGTGTGAAATCCTCTAAAATTGTGTGTAAAATGTGAAAGCCTTTCTAATATTCGAAGGAAAATTTAGAGGCCTCAAGGTTCTAACAAAAGAATATAAAACTTTTGGAAACTTCTGGATAGAATCTAAATGTCCTCATTCCTAAGCAAGCTTGAGGAAGGTGCTAAGAGAAGTGGGGTGAGTTGAGAGAAGGGGTGAGAGAGTGAGAAAATATAAAGTTTTACATATTGAACATTGAGCATAAACCTTAATATAATTATTAATCTTTGATTTAGAGTACGAGAAAATTAATGTTTATTGCTATATTTGTTATGAATTTATTTTTAAGGTGTTAAGGTCTTATGTACTCTCCTATCCCACTAAGTTTTGTTAACTTTTCATATTTAGCCCTTCCAAAAAGTTTTGTCATTTCCTTTCAAAGTAACAAGTTTGAAAGTACTAAGTTTGTAGTCAATGTTATTTCTCTTTCCGCTACACAAACCTCAATCACTCAATTTTCACTTTATTATTACTATGCATGTCAACCGTAATGATTTGCCAACTGTTATAGAATGAATTCACACTTTAGTTCCCTAGTATAACACAACTATCTTGAACTTGTAAACTTCTAATGCATGCGTCTCCCTAAGATTGGGACATGAGAGAGTGTTGACATTATTAAAAAGAGTAAAGTGGTGTGATTGATATTAAATCGGTAAAGCGTGAATAAAGTAAGAATGCATTGAAACCATCCGATTATTATCGAATATGACATGCACAAACTTAATTGGATGGAGAAAAAAGGTAAAATTGGACAAAGATAATGGGACAAGGAGTATTTATAAGTTTGTTGTTGGTTGAATGATGGTGATGTGTCTTTGTCACTTACTCTTACATGCTTTTGTGTATTCATGAACTTTTTTAAATGAACAAGTGTTATTAGGAACATATACGCTTCTATTTAAAGATATTTATATATTTTCTTAAGTAATACTCCCTCCGTCCCCCTAATATTGGGATGGAAGAGAGTGGCGTAGTTTTTTAAAAAAGTAGCATTATGTGGTTGATAATGAGTTGATAAAGTGGGAACAAAGTAAGAATGAATTAGAGTCACACAAATGTTACCAAATATGGTATGCGACAATAATAGGGGGACATCCAAAAATGGAAAAATGGGACAATTATAGGGGCAGAGGGAGTACTATGTACCACCAAACAGAAAAAAAAAGTGTTTTTATTGAAAAAGAAGAAGCTAATGTACATAATTTTATAGAAAAAACTGCTATAACTTTCTTTCACTTGTAGAGAAAAGAATATGCACTCCAACTTTACAATTTGTACTTCATTGTTCAAATAAAATCGGGAAAAATGTATCCTTTGCTATATAGCTTATGGGCATAACTATTCATTCACTTTTCTATTTTATCTTTTGCTAGTACTAGCATGTTTCCATTCATTTTTTATGCTGAACTTTAGGTTTTAGCTTTTTGTTTGGTAATTACTATCTCATTTTTAACTAAATGATAACATTCTTTTTTAGAAATTGCTCTAAATAGGAGCAAAAACGTTTTGAAATTCCAAAATAGGAGTATAATGTTTTTTATTCCCTAAATAGGAGTAATGTGTCAAGTTTGGAAAAAAATGCCATGTTTTAAAGCCTAGTAATGCCAAACTTGGCAGAAATTTACTCTTATTCAAGGAATAAAAAACATGATACTCCTATTTTGGAATTTCAAAACTTTTTTACTCCTATTTAGGGAATTCTCTCTAAATGAGCAATTGATCTGAATGAGTTAAACAGAACATATGAATTTCAAGGTTGTTCTTCTTAAATGAGTCAATGGAGCATGTTGGAGTGATAGATGGTGATAGTTCTCCCATTTTTTCTAAGATAGAAGAATCCTCATCGTTGCCGTGCTCAATAAATTTACTAAATTTACTCCTTAGGCATAGACTAGTAAGTTAGAGTGAAGTAATTTTAAATACACAGAGTCAACAAAAATTTATGTAATTTTCTAAATTTATAAAATATATCTTGTACAAAGTTATCACTAGTAAAATATATCTAGTCATGAGTCATGAGTGAACATACAAGAGTTCATACTAGCCTCTACCCCGAAGAGGTCGAATTGTTTCTCCAACAAAATGACTAGTAGGAGGCCTCACATCATTTGTTTCCAAAAATTCTTCAGAGAATAATGATAATAATTCCTAAATGTTATTAGATTACCACTAAAATATTTGTGAACTGATTGAACTCATTCAAACGCTTTGCCAAATAACACACTTGGCAGATCTGTAAAAGTTCTTTCACATGTATTTGTCTAGTCCCAAGCGCAGGAATAAATCCCAATTCCAAATAATTGGAATCTGCCAAGTTTATAGAACAATTAGCCTATGAGAATCAACAATGCAAGGCCTTATTCAATCAGCAAGTATACCTGGAAGTACTGCCCTTGAATTGGTGAGCAATGGCATCTACCTGCTTGAAGTCTACAATTTGCTGCTGCCTATACAATTCAAGAACAAAACCCAAAAAAAAAGAAAGATTTCATTTTTAACTGGGCAAATCGAAAAAAGATTCCAGAACCATACAAAGATATACAAATAAGTAAATAAAATCTCACATAGCAGTGGTCAAGCAGTCGATAATCCTCTCAGAATCCTCAAAGAAGAGCATAACCACTTCCACCACAAAATCTGGGTTGCTCTCATCTTCCAGTTGCCGAAGCTGAGCATATTGATCATCCAAGAAGTTCTTTTTTCACCCAGAAAAAATAAAAAGAACCCATTCTCAAAAACCATCCAAGAAAATGAAAAGCTCAAACCACAGGAATCATAGAAATGGAAGAAAAAAGAAATTCCGGAATTTGGGACTGTTCCACTGTCACTGACCTGACGATAAATGGAAACGACGACGTCCACGAATTGTTTCTGCAGCTGAGCGATGTCCATGGCGGATTTCCTACTCTTCTCGCCTATCTTATCTACGCAAATAAGCTGTGTTCTATTTCTGCGGGATGGGCAAATTCTTGCAGATGTCTGTCATTTAGAGCAGCTAATAATAATAAGACAAAGACGACAACTAATTGCACTATTAACGTTCGAATTGACTTTCCATAATTGTTTTTCCTTATTTACTAATTTGCCGGTAAATGCAGTAAAGCACTGATTAATGGTAAACTAGTGGTAGCGACAGCAAAAATACAAGGCTGGAATATTTGACCTTATCAGAATTAGAAATTCTGAATGAAAGGTGACTATTGTTTAATTATTCCCTACTTAGAATTATATCATTCTCTTTTAAATGCATCATTGGACTTTTCGCATTATTCACATGTTCTATTTTGACTATATTTTATTTATTAATGTACTGTAAATTAAAATTAAAATTAAAATTCCTCTCATTTTAAATTTTCAAAATTTTAAATTTTCAAAATTTTAAATTTTTAATTTATTTACGAATAAAAGATAATAATAGTCAAACTTATGTAAAAAGTGGATCGTTGCAATTAATAAAAACGGACCAAGAATTGTCTTACTCCCTCCGTCCCTCATAACTTTGCCAACTTTCCTTTTTTGGTTGTCCCAAAAACTTTGCCACTTTCCCTTTTAATCAATCAATTTGTGGGTCCTGTTATTTCTCTCTCCTCTGCACAAATATCTACCACACAATTTTTACTTTATTATTCTACGTGCCGGTCAAACTTGATAATCATTTAAGGGACGGAGGGAGTACAAAATTCTAGGCTGGAATTTGGCATTAAAAATTTAGTACTCCAAAGTGATGAGATTTGATCAAGCGGATTCCCTACCTGTCTGCGCTTTGATTCCCTTAATTTGCAAGCCAATAATGTGTCCCCACCACACCAAACTCCACACGTAATAGCAAATTAGCAATTGATTGATTGATGATAGAATGCTATTCATTCTCCGTTGCTTTCCACATGTTCTTCTCTCCTAGATTTCCTTTTTCTCGTTTTGGATAATTTGGTGAATTCAAAAATTATGATTAAAATATGAGTGAATTCCGTAAATAGGAATAAAAAAGTTTTGAAATTTTAAAGTATAATTATCATATTTTTATTCCTTTAATATAAGTAAAGTTTTGCCAAATTTGGCATTATTAATCTTTAAAACATGACATTTTTTCTAAACTTAACATATTACTCTTATTCAGGGAATAAAAAACATGATACTTCTATTTTGGAATTTGAAAACGTTTTTGCTCCTATTTAGAGCAACTTCTATTAAAATATACTATGTATTTGATTAATAATATAAAGAAAAATGTATACTCAGTATAAAAATTGTTAAAATAATTATCTTGAATGAATTCAGTCAATTCGGTTAAAACGTAACAATGATCTTTATTTATTTTGATCACTATACTTTTAATGCGAAACTAAATGTTATGTGTTAGATGATAAAAAAATTGGTTAATAATAATAATGTTTTATTTAGGGATTGCTGTGTAATTTTCATAACTCTATTTTATTATAAATATGATGCTAAGGCACCCAATAGGGTAAGTCATTATTTCCCTAACTTATTATTTTGTACTCCCTCTGTCCCACTTTAAGGTTTTCACGCAGTTTACGATGTTTGACTGACCATAAAGTTAACTGATCCCTGCCATTGATAGAATTATTTTTAGTAAATTAAATTTACATATTCAGAAACTAGATTAAAACTGCTACAAAACCTGCAAAAAACAATTTAAATTCAAAACATTTTGATATATAAAGTAAAAGATTAAGAACAATACACGTTAACCGGAGAATAGTGGATGAGAATCTTTAAATGGAACGGAGGGAGTATATGGTATTAGTCGCTAGGGTTCTCTAATCTGCCGACATACTCATGGACGGCACCATGTCTGCCACCAACACGGTTTGGCACTCGGTCCTCAGGAGCAGCAACCGCTACATCCATTCTTTCTGACGACACCTACCGTGCTCGAGAGTCCTCATGCTACCTTTGGTTCGAGCAGCACCACTCGCACATTGCCGTTCTCTTCCTCCTTGGTGTCGTCGTCGTTCAATGCTGCACAGATCCGTTCTCCGCTTGCAGCCTCGTTGTCACAGCGAATCAATTCAATTCCGCCCCTAGATTCCTACATATTATTTAATATGCCAGAGCCCTTCTCCGTGATGCCGACAACCACCACCGCACCTTCGGCGATTGCTCCAGTTTTTCCGCTTGTGTGCGTATAATGTCTGTCAAGTGATTTTTAATAAAAATTCTTTTTCTGTTAAGGACAATCAAACAGGGGAGCTTCTTCTTTAGGCACCTAATAAAGACCATGTTTACCCTTGATGGATAGTGTACCCGGGGGGTAGCTTATCCGAGGGGTTATTGCGGAGAATAACTAGAGAGAAGTCAGAGCAAATAAGTAAGAGAGAGTGTATATTCGATATGTATTAAGCGTGGTTTACAATGAGGGAAAGGGGTGCTATTTATAGTAGTAATAAATGCTAGATAAGGACACGTGTCAGTTTTCTGGTGGTCGAGGGGTCACCTCGACCGGGGTGGCACTGGCACTCGCATGTGGCCGCATTAAATGCGGTGGTTGGATGTGACGTTTTTACTTGGTACGATGATCCAGGCGCATGTGAAGAGGATATTCTGTCGAGGTGGATGCCTTCGGCTGAAGGGTGCTGGGCCGAAGGCTCTTCTAACCGAGGGCTCCTACCTGCCGAGGGCTGCAGGTGCCGAAGGCTTGGTTTTCAAGCCTTGTTCTCCTGTGATGCCTCTTCTAACCGAGGGCTCCTACCTGCCGAGGGCTGCAGGTGCCGAAGGCTTGGTTTTCAAGCCTTGTTCTCTTGTGATGCCTCTTCTAACCGAGGGCTCCTACCTGCCGAGGGCTGCAGTTGCCGAACGCTTGGTTTTCAAGCCTTGTTCTCCTGTGATGTTTCTGAGCTCGATTCCGTCACTGGTAGCCTTCGGCCATGGGGCCGAAGGCACCCCTTTGCGTATTGTGGGCTGCTTAGAGCTCCATTTTTCTGGGCTTGGCCCGTTTGGGCCTGTTGGGCCTGATTGTAGTAGAGGAAGTATGTGGGCTGGGGGTCCCTGGGCCATATACTCCATCAGGAGTCCCCCACTCCTTTTGCCGAAAGGTACTTGAGGGAAAAGGAGTAGCTGTGGTGATTTCCCCGAAGGCTTCCCTGTTCTGTTGAGTGCCTCATTTTCTCAATTCCCCCATATGTCGAGGGCTGAGAGCTTCCTGAAGGGAGTGTAAGTGTGTTGCTCGTATGTGTTTCTTTGTTGTAGTTTGTAAAGTAATGAGAGATCTGCATTTGTGTGCTTTGCCGAGGGCATTTGTTGACTGAAGGCTTTGTGTGGCCGAAGGCATCATGTGGCCAAAGGCATCATGTGGTCGGAGGCATCATGTGGCCGGAGGCATCATGTGGCCGAAGGCATCATGTGGCCGAAGGCATTGTGTGGCCGGAGGCATCATGTGGCCGAAGGCATTGTGTGGCCGGAGGCATTCTGTAAGCCGAAAGCATCATGTCGAGGGGAGTAGATTGCCGTTGTGATCTTGCCTCAGCTTGTTGTAGCTGAGAAATAGAAAATTTTTAACATTTGCGTGTTTTGCCGAGGGGAGTCCCCCAGTCCCCCACTCCTTTTGCCAAGAGTTTCTCGAGGGAAACAGGAGTAGAGTGATGCATGCCTTCAGCAGGAGCCGCCGGGGGGTGACGCCTTTTGTTCCACTATGGGGAGATGCCTCGCTAAAAAACCTCATTAGGAAAAAACCCTGTGGGAAAAAAATCCTAATGAGGGAAAAAGAGTACACCGGATGCCCCCAGAATGAAGCAAAAGGAATGCACCCTTCGGCCTAGATTTTTGAGCGGTGGTTGTGTCCGTCTTCTGAGGGGATATCGAAGACTAGCCTTAGATCCTGCATGAAAAAGCTGAGGAGCTTGTAAGGACCCCCCGTTATCAAATAAAGGTGACGGAGGGGTGCAAGGCCATGTGGGCCTGTGTGAGAGCCCCTGGCATCAAATACGGATGCCGGAGGGATGGAGACCGAGGGGCCTGTGTGATTGCCCCCGACATCAAATAAATATGCCGGAGGGGTGAAGGCCGAGGGCCTGTATGATAGCCCCTGACATCAAATAAAGATGTCGAAGGGATGAAAGCTAGACTGAGGGGCCTGTATGACAGTCCCTGGCATCATATTAAGATGCCAGAGGGATGAAGGCCGAGGGACCTGTGTGATTGCCCCCGACATCAAATAAAGATGTCGGAGGGATGAAGGCCGATGGGCCTGTATGATAGCCTCTGGCATCAAATAAAGATGCCGGAGGGATGAAGGCCGAGGTACCTGTGTGATTGCCCCGACATCAAATAAAGATGCCGGAGGGATGAAGGCCGATGGGCCTGTATGATAGCCCCCGACATCAAATAAAGATGCTGGAGGGATGAAGGCCGATGGACCTGTGTGATTGCCCCCGACATCAAATAAAGATGCCGGAGGGATGAAGTCCGATGGGCCTGTATGATAGCCCCCGACATCAAATAAAGATGTCGGAGGGATGAAGGCCGAGGGCCGTTGTGATGTGGAATCATGCTGAGGCCGAGGGCCGTTGGTGATGTGAGATCACGCTAAGGCCAAAACCATTATGACATAGGGTCATGTTGAGGCCGAGGGCCGTCTGATGTTGAAGTTGAGGGCCATTGTGATGTCCTCACGCTGAGGCCGAGGGCCGTTGTTGATGTTGAGGCCGAGGGCCGTATGATGTTGAGGCCGAGGGCCATTGTGATGTGGAATCACGCTGAGGCCGAGGGCCGTTGGTGATGTTGAGGCCGAGGGCCGTTCTGATGTTGAGGCCGAGGGCCGTTGTGATGTGGAATCACGCTGAGGCCGAGGGCCGTTGGTGAGGTGAGATCACGTTAAGGCCAAAAACGTTATGACATAGAGTCATGTTGAGGCCGAGGGCTGTCTGATGTTGAGGCTGAGGGCCATTGTGATGTCCTCACGCTGAGGCCGAGGGCCGTTGTTGATGTTGAGGCTGAGGGTCGTCCTTATGTTGAGGCCGAGGGCCGTTGTTGATTTTGAGACCGAGGGCCATTCTGATGTTGA